CAGGGGCGGGGCGCGCTTGGGAGCTGCTGAGGAGCGGAGGCGGAGGCGGCAGGTGAGAGGCCGGGGGTGAGGGGCCGGGTGGCGCGAGGTCCTAGCCGAGGCTCGGGGCGACCCCACGCCGGGCTCCCGGCCTCTCTGGCTGTTCCCCCAACTCCAAGAATCCGTCCTGAGGAGTCGGGACCCCGACTCTGACTGAGGTATATGTTGAGCCTAAGACGAGCGATAGGCTTCCCCGCGCTGAGCCTCAGTTTCCCCTACGAAGCAGCGGGGCTCACGCACAGCGAGGTTCAGGTTTTATTATACCGAGGTAGTTAATGCACGTAAAGCCTTGAATGGAGGCTGATCCCGTATTATTGACCCAGCAAGGGACTTTCTAGGACCCTGGCGTGGAGAGGTCCTCGCGTTAGTGGGCAACACGGGGCGTCATAGCTGTTTCTGCAGTCTCTTTACAGTTGTGATACGTTGGAAACAGCCTAAAAGTCCAGGAAAGAGTTCTTTCTGGTCCACTTCACTTAAATCTCGACCTTTAATAGTGGTAATAAAGCCAGGAACCAAGAACAGCGAGCAATGAGCAGCTGTCAGCAGTGGAGTGTCAGTAGCCACACACTGCTAAGTGTTTCCCTTGCGTCTAACCTCCCCCGAACCTATTGAACGAAGTAAGTACCATTATTGTCCCCATTTAACATGTGAGGAAACTGAGGTGCAAGGCCACTTAAGTGAGTTAGCTAAGATGACATCAGTTGGAGAGTAGAAGAGCTGGGGCTTGAACCCAGATCCTTCTGACGTGTCTAGTTTAACTGCTGCATTGCAATTGCCTTTTTTTTTTTTTTTTTTTTTAATTATAATGATGAGCTCGAACTAGGCATTTGATAAGATCTGTAAGCTCTGGAGGCTTTCCCTTTCAGGTTTCCCAGGAGCCATGTTGTCAGAAGCCCTGCTGGTGTCTGCGCCGGGGAAGGTCATCCTTCATGGAGAGCATGCTGTGGTCCATGGCAAGGTAAAAGGCCCCCAGAGCCTTCGAGGACTGGGCACCGTTTCTCCCTGCTGCTAATCTTAAAAGAAGCTAAAAGGAAGCCTTGAGGCATACATAGCCCGATAGTAGATCTGAGAGGAAGTCGGTTTTTCCCCGGCCAAGCAAGGAAAAGACAGGTCTTACGCCCACTGATGGGCTTCTCAGGCCCACTCAGTGAGATAGCAAAAAAGATGACACGTACAGAGAGCCCTGTGAGTGGAAGAAGATCACCTAAGCAGTGAGCTTCGGTGGAGAAGACAAGAGGTTTGAGGATTGAATTCTGGGGTACTTCACCCTTTAGAAGTCAGGAAGGTGAGTAGGACCCAGCAGAGGGGTCTGAAACATGCATTATCTCATTTAACTCTCACAGCTACCTTCTGGGGTTAAACTTTTACCAGTGTGGAAGCTGAGGCTCAGGAGAGGACTGGTAACTCGATCCAGGTCCCGTATACCTTGGTAGAGCTGAGAAGGGACCCAAGTCTGTCTGAATCCAAAGCTCATGCTTTCCCCGCTCCTCCCCTTTGTCATCCTTTATCCTTGAAAACGTGGTGATTATGGGGAAGCCATTCCGTGGTGTTGTGAACCTTCGAAGTTTTGCATGGTGAAGGCAGATACAAGTAGATGTTAACTTCTGGTTGGTGGTGGTAGTAGTGGGAGGGCTTGCCAAGGTTGATTAGCAGCATCTGCCAAGGGCCTGAGTGGAAGTGACCTGTGTACTAGTATTTGTTCTCTCTTCTCAGCACACTGTTGACATTGTCCCCTTTTACCTAAGACAGGAGCCATGCTTGTTGCCACCCACCCTCAGGCTAATTGCTTTTGACCTTTGTTTTATAGGTAGCACTGGCTGTGGCCTTGAACTTGAGAACCTTTCTCCGGCTTCAACCCCACAGCAATGGGAAAGTGGGCCTCAACTTACCAAACATTGGCATCAAGAGGGCCTGGGATGTGGCCAGGCTTCAGATGCTGGACACGAGCTTCCTGGGTAAGTGCAGGGAGGAGGAACCAAGTGTGGGTTCTGAAGGAAGGGGGTAAGAAGAGGCTGGTCATATAAACTCCTTAGAAGCGTGCGAGTCTTTTTTTCTTCAGTATATGAGGACTGTCTTCTAGTAAATAAAGACCTCTGTGCTACTTTTTGAGAGCTGTTGGGAATGTCATGTCCACCCACACACAGAGATGAGGCTTCTTCATCTGCAGAACCACCACTTATGTCAGAGCAGGAGCATGCGTCCTCCTGTTCTCAGTTTGCTGTCTCCTCTCTGGACTGATGCCCTGTTGTTATGAACAGTGCTTCTCAGCCAGAGTGGGGCAAAGGAGAATCCTCCAGGGGTTTCTCCCAAACTGTTCCTGTTCCCCATGAGAATCAGTCCATAGCAAGCCACTCAGCCACTCTCAAATACTGGAGGGAGACAGAGTAAGAGTTGAAAACCCGCATTTTCGAGCAATTATTTTCAACCTCAGTCCTGCCTTGAGATCCCCTGGGGAGGTTTTTTTGGTGTTTGTAATAATACAGATGGATTCTTGGCCCTGCCCCCTTCTAGTGAGAATCAGTAGTGGCAGGTAGTGGTGGTAGGGGACCGGGCATGTGTATTTTGAAAGGGGTTCCGTGGGGTGATCTCAGGGACACCTCAGTTAAGAGCCATTGCTTTGGAGCATGCCTCAGAAACCAGCCATCCAGCAACCTGGACCTTGCTTTTCATGGTGCACTGGACCGCCTAGTCAGGCTGGAAATGTCCCCTGAGAACTGTCTGCTGCTTCTATATGTCAGCGGCATGGATGGAAGCAGCCAGGTGTGATGGGACATGTGTCAGACCACTTCTGACTCTCTGCGTGAGCCTGGGCAGGTCACTTGACGCCCTGAGCTGAGTTCTGTTGCCTGGGAGGGTCGCTGTGAGGATCCAGCAGGATGAGAGGCGCGCCTTGGTCTGGAGTGCAGAGTGCAGTGCATACATGAGGGCTTGTCAGTTATTCTCCAAGGAGACAGGGAACCTGAGCTTTTTGGATGCTAATATTTTCTATTCCGTCTCGAGGATCTGCCATTTTTGTCTTTCGGTGTTCTCTGGTTCCCTCCTAATGCTAGTAATAAACACAGTGAATATGTACTGGGCCGTTATGCGCGCCAGGCACGGAACTATGTATGCTAGTGCTCCCAGAATTCCAGCCTTCCCTGGAAGTAGGTGCTGCTATTCATGCCCATTTTATGGATGAGCACATTGAGGTTCAGGGGCTAAGTGGCTCACGTCTCACAGTTTGTTGGCGATATGGAAAGGATTCAGACCCAGATCTTCCTAAAATCAAAGCCCAGGCTCTTAACAAACCATTCCATCTCCGTCACAGAGCTCTGAGATGCCTGGGCTCTCAGTCACACTGTCACTGGCCTGGCTGCCTTTAAGTAGCATGAAACCCTGAGGTTTCCTAACACAGGCACACCCAGCTCAGTTTCAGGTCCCTTTAAATTTGACTAGGGACTCAGGGAGTGATTTGTGAAAGTAAACTCGTCAGACTTGCTCTTCCTCTTCCGCCTCAGGTGAAAATGCCCAGCCTCTTGCTTGCATTGGAAGAGAAACTGCTCCCTGGCCTTTCCCTCCTTCCCAAGCAAATCTCCATAGTTTGGGTCCACTGGTTTTATTTGCTGTCCTGTTCTTGCTCATTGTGTTCTGGGAGAGGGAAATATTTTGGGTATAATGTAATACTGCCTTTAGTATTGGTTTTGTACAATGGAGGTCAAACCTGGACTTAAGAGTGATTGAGCTAGCCCTCACTTTTCATGTGTATGTGTTTTAAAACTACTATTAATTAAGCACTTACTACATGCCAGAAACTGTTAAGGATTTTTGTACCTTATTTCACTTAATTTCATGACAATCTTGTAAGGAAATACTGTTGTTATCACTATTTACCAAGGAGGGAAACTGAGGTTCAGAGAGGTTAAGTCACGTGCTCAAGGCCAGAAAGCCAGTCAGTATCACAGTCAGGACCCCGACCCAAGTCTGCCTGTCTCCAAAGCCTAAAGTCCATCAGCTGTAGTGCTCGGATCTTGAGTCCGTGTCCGTTCAGTTTCCAGTTGCAATGATGCGTAGTTCTTTGTGTTCTGTTGTCTAGAAGAGCATCTGAGGCACTCTCACCCACCTACGTATCCTTGTTTGCTTCCGTGACAGGGCAAGGTGACAGCATAGCGCTCACACCAGAGAAAGTGGAGAAGCTGAAGGAGGTGGCAGGCGTCCCCGAGGACTGTGCCAACCACGAGTGCCTGGCTGTGCTGGCCTTCCTTTACTTGTACCTGACCATCTGCCGGAAGCAGAGGTGTGTGCATGGCCTGGGGAAGGAGTCCTGGTTCAGCTTCCCCCAGAAAATGGGTGAGGGTTTCTCTAGTTTTGGCTGCTGGAGAATGCACATGCTCCCTTCCAGGTTTCTAATAGCAGGAGCCATCAGCTGCCCCACCATGTGCCAGACACCATGCTAGACACTTTGTATATGGTCCGTTTTTAATATTCACAGCAACCCTAGGAGAGAGGCACTGTCCTCGTTTTGCACAGGGAGAAAATGAGACTCAGATAAGGTCACTTAAGGCCATGCAGCTAGTTAGTAAGTAAATTAGTAAGCTGGGCGTCAACTCAGTTCACTTTAATCCCTATGCTGATCTTTTTAGCTCTGTACTGACTCCTATGCGCTCCTCAATTCAGTAGAACCCAAGCCAGACTCCATTCTCAGATACACTGTGTGGCTCCTCCCATGCTTTGTCCATAGAGGCACCCTTGTTCCACAGCCTACAGAGAATCTCCAGATCTGGGCAGGGCAGCCATGTGTAGTTTGAAAAAGCAGATTGAGAATGACCTCTGGGTGTCCAGGGGAAGCTTCCCAGAGAGAGTGACACCTGAGAAGGGTCTTGCAGGATGGGTAGGAACTTCTCTGGGAGAGTTGCAAAGCTATCCCGGGCAGGGGGACCAACCTGTGCTACGAGCAGGGCCATGAAAGAGCCTCGCTTGTGTGGGGAACAGGAAGAAGTTTAGAGGAATGGTTGGTGGTTCATGAACTTTTCAGAAGAGCTCTGGTTGGACAACGGAGCAGTTTAAATGAATCTTGTACCCACCCTTTGAGAGAGTCACACTCTGTGCCCTGCTGTGTGTGTTTCAGCGCCCTGCCAAGCCTGGACATCACTGTGTGGTCGGAGCTGCCCACCGGGGCCGGCTTGGGCTCCAGTGCTGCCTACTCTGTGTGTCTGGCAGCTGCCCTCCTAACCTTGTGTGAGGAGATCCCAAACCCGCTGAAGGATGGGGAGGCCACCAGCAGGTACTCATGACCCCCGCCCTGCTCACCGTCCTTCCTGTGGGCCATGGCCTGAGCGTGGGTCTCTCACCAAAAACTCACTGGCTCCCTGTGAGGTGAGAGGTGTCACGTGCCATTTTACAGAGGAAGTTGAGGGATAGACCAAGCAGAGAGCATGGCCCAGGCCACAGAGCTAGTGATAGCAGAGTGGGATTTGAACTCAGGCATTCTGAGTCCAGAGCCTGAGCTCTCTGCCAGATCCTCTGCCAGCATTCAGTACACTTGCAACTAGCCTTTGAGGAAGGTGGGGTTACCATTCTACAGATGAGGAGAGCGAGACTCAGAGAGGTCAGGTAACGGGCCTAGAGTCACTCAGCTAGCAGAGGCAAAGTAGGACTGTGTGAACCGTAAGCTGGGGCTCTCTCCACCGTGCCAGGCAGGAGGGTTTCTGAGGGAAGAGGAGGTATGGCATGTGCTTTAGCTGGAGAAGTTCCAGGCAGCTTTTATCTTCTTTCTCAGTTTGGGGGCCCAAGCCCCTTTGCCTTTGGTCTCCACCAAGCCCAACCTTTGGCCCCTGCCTTTGCTGCCCATGGGTACCCCTGCGCCCCACTCAGCACTATAGTAAAGATGAACTCCTGTGTCTCTTTTAGGTGGACAGCAGAGGATTTGGAATTAATTAACAAGTGGGCCTTCCAGGGGGAGAGGGTGATTCACGGGAACCCTTCTGGAGTGGACAACGCCGTCAGCACCTGGGGTAGGTGCTGCTTCAGGCTTGTTTTCTTTATTTTTGTCATTTTTAAGACTCTTATGACAATTGTAGGTGTGCAGGATCTGTTGATCTGGGATGAATAGAATCAATGAGTTCTGAGAAAAATAGCATCTTCCTGTTTTGAAGGGAATGGGAGACATCTCAGCCTCACACCTCCTGAGTGCAAATCTCTGGGGCCGACGCAGCCAGTGTTGCTCAGCAGTTGAGAATCTAGCTATGAACCAGGAGGTCACGGTTCGATTCTGGGTCAGGGCACAAGCCCAGGTTATGGGCTCAATCCCCAGTAGGGGGCATGCAGGAGGCAGCTGATTGATGATTCTCTCTTGTCATTGATGTTTCTCTCTCTCCCTTTCCCTTCTTCTCTCTGAAATCAGTAAAAAAAGGAAATCTCAGCTGGGGCCTGGAACAGTGTAGTTCCAATGAAGTCCTCAGGGACTTTCCAAGTTAAAGCTGCAGAGCCATGGCTATGGAGTTTGCAGACTACATGAGTTGAGGTCTCTGGTGAGGATGACCTAGACACAGCCCTGTGTCCCACCTTCACCATGTCACCACGCAGCTGTCAGAGTGGAGCTGGGCAGCCTGGAGGGAAGGGAGTGACCCTGGAAGCTAGGACCTGGCAAGAGCTTCCTGGCAAAGCACAGAGCACCCTTGTGCCCTCCTGAGCCTTTGTAGCTGAAGCTGAGATGATGGTTATGCTCTTTAGTCTGTTCCCTGGATGGGACAAAACTCAAACCAATCCCAAAAATCTAACTTACCTTCCAAGAGTCGAAGACCTGCTTTTTTGACCCGCAGGTTTCTGTCTTTAGGGGGAGCACTCCGATACCAGCAAGGCAGGATTTCATCCTTAAAGAGGTAAGTCTGAGGTGGGGCAGCACCTCGGCCTGGCTGCATGGGTTGGGGAGCGCTGCTTCCTTATGTATCACGTGGGGCAGGTGGTCCTGGCTTCCCCTCCCCCACATGGCCCTTAGGCCATCACCATGAGAAAGCCCTGCTCCTTCCTTCTCCATGTCAGTGCTTAAATTGTCAGTGTTTAAATTGCCCAGAGATTAAGGGGGAGGTCATGCATGGCTGTACACTCGCCTTCCAGAGTGTGGCTGCTCATTTAGTTATTCATTCACTCAGCAAACAAGAATTGATATCCTCTGTGTTCCTCATGACACTGTACGGGGAACCGGGGATATAAAGATGGATCTTGGACACCATTTTAGGCGGGTGGGGACAGACATGCACACAAAAGCCACCACAAAGTTATGTGAGAGTTGCCATAATGAAGGCATTCAAGGCAGAACCAGGACAGGAGCAAGAGGCAAGCTTGTGAGAGGCTTAGAACAGAGGTGACATTTGGCAACTTTCAGCCTGTTTTACTGTTTCTTTATGCCGTCCCTCTTGAGTAACTGGAATTCCAAACATGCATATTAAATCTCAACTTCCTCTGTTCTATTTGCATTCAGTGGAGATGTCAGAAGCAGGGAGTGTATGGGGCAAGCAGAAGCCAGGTGCCCTCGATCGAGTTGGGTGGTGGTGTTTGTTCCAGGGCACTTTGCTGCCTCGGTGGGACTTTTCACGCCTGTGAGGGTCCCAGGGATGGCTCTCATCTTCTTTACCCAGGGCTATCATCTTTGTGGATGGGCAGCAGGTCCTGGACCCCTGTCCTCATCAGCTGGGCCACTCCATTAGTGGCTGAGTCACCTGGGGTAACATGGGGCTGCTCTCCTACCCCTCTGGGATCTTCCTGTCCCAGCCATGTCAGCTTCCAGGAGCCAGTCCTGCTTTTCTGAGGCTCTTCATCGGGGTTTCTTAATCTCACACTATTGACACTGTGGGCTGGATAGTTCTTTATAGCCAAGACATCCTGTGCAGTGTAGGATGCTGAGCCAGTGGACGCACTAGATGCAGTAGCTCTACCCACTAGATGCAGTAGCACCTCCCCCATCTCCCAGTGGTGACAACCAAAAATATTTCCTGACACCGCCACATGTACCCTGGAGGGCAAAACCTCCCTGGGTGACTACCTCTGCTTTACACAGAGGAGGGAGCAGGGCCATTTCAGAGCATGAAACAGCTTCCTGTGGCTGCTTGTGGGGTTGTGGCTGTGGAGCCTCAGGGCTCAGGCTGGGGCTGGCTCTGTCTGGTGTACCAAATCCATGTGCAGTGAGAGCAGGAGCGAGCAGAGGATTCTGAGATGTCTGGGCCCAGCCCACCCTCAGGGCTTATAGTCTATCAGAGGAGGCAAGCACGACTATAATCTTCAGAACAGAGGCATCCAAAGGGTTTTTGATCTGCTATGGATGACAGTGAGGGGTGTCATAAGTCAGCCTGCAGATTCAGGGGGTCCTTCATGGAGGCAGTGGTATTTCCTTCACTCAGTTTCCTGAGAGCCATTTATATCCTAAGCACTGAACTAGGCCCCAGGGATAGAAGACCAACTAAGACTGGGCCTGTGCACGTGCACAGTCTCCTGGGGTGGTGGGGGGATCAAGAGGTTAGGGATGGAGTGTTTCTAAGGCAGGAAGAGGCAGGGGAGGGGCCCCAAGGCTGCTCAGAGGCCAGTTGGTGGTGGTATGGTAGGCAGAAGCTCTGGTGTCCATAAGCCTGTGTGTGAGCCCAGCTCTACCACTTGCTAGCCAGATGCCCTTGGCTGAGTCATGCTTCTGAGGCCTTCATCTCATGATACAGTGGGTCCTGAGCATGAAATCAGAAACAGTCTCTATGAAGTTCTGAGCTATTTGCAGACCAAATGTATTCATACATTCCACAAATTATTATTGAGCAACTACTGTGTGCTGGATGCTGGGACCTCAGCAGGGAACAAAATGTCTTGCCTTCATGGAACTCATTTTGTGGGAGGAGACAACCAACAAATAAATTGCTCTTTAAGAGCATGTCGGGCAGTCCTAGGTGACTTTAGGAAACAGAAAGCAGGGCGAAGGGCTCATGGTGAAGGAGGGAGCCAGTTGGATGGGATAATTAGTTGAGGCTTCTGATGAGATGACATCTGAACAGATACCTGAATGAAATACAAGAGTGAGTCATGGAGCTATTGAGGACAGAGGCAGGTCTCTGGCAGAGGAAATGCAAGTGCAAAGGTCCTGAGGCAGGAAGGAGTGTGCCTGTGTGTTGAGCAGCAGCCAGGAGGCCAGGGTGGTTGAGTGCAGTGAGCAGCTAGGGAGAGCAGAGATGAGATGAGATGAGGCCGGGGAGGTAGCCAGGCCAAGGACACACAAGCATTTACAGAGCATAGCCCTGGGTGGTAGTCCCAGGATTTCATAGGAGCCCTGAGTTTTGTGGGGCTGGCAGGAGGCCCGTTTGTAGAGGACTTGTCTAGGAAAGATGAAGAGGCAGTACCCAAACCCCTCCCGCCCCAACGCATGAGAACATAGAGCAAACTGAGCTCGCTGTGGTGAGCAGATGGCGGATTCTCTGAGAAGCAGAGAGGCCAGACCACATTAATCCCACCGATGGCTTACAGAGGAGCCCTTTTGCCTCAAACCACACGTGGTGCTTCTCCATAAAAAAATGCATTGTTTGCGAAGTGGATCAAGATGCGGCCTCCCAGAACGCTGCCCTTTTGAGGAACGGCTTGTCTTTGAAGGGAAGAGAAAAGCCAAATAGAATGTTCATCTTTTGTAAAGTTAAAAAAAAAAAAAAAAAAAAA